CGAAACCTAAAAAACTAAAAAGTATATAGTTTCGTCTGCATATGTACTTATCTACATTTATAATTATATAAGTTTATATATTCTATATAAGTTTATATATTTCTAATTTTAGTGCTTAGGGGTATTTAATTGTATTAGTTAACTAACATAATGAAAAAAAATACCCGAGGTAACTTTGATATTTTTTTTGGAATTAGTTTTTCAGTATTCTTTGTAATAATCTTTGTAGTGTATTTAATTTATATAAATAAACTCTAATCAAAAGTTTACTAAGATTTCATAAAATTGATATGAAAGGTAAAAAACATATTATAACTGTTGAAAATGAAAGATTTTTATAAAAAACTGTATGAAAGAGTAAAAAACACATTCTAATTGTATTCTAAACAGCTAAAAAATGCTATAACAGCATGTATTTTATATACCTATTGATACACACCTACCTATCTGTAATATGAGGACCTACAAGAGGAAGAATGGGAGTCGTGTTAATCATTAGATTAGATTAGATTAGATTAAAATTTATTAGAACAGTGATACATGTTCTAAAGGACACGCAGGTCCATAAAATATGAAGGACTCTGACAACGTGCCCTACAATCACATAATACAAATGCTAGTTAATTTAAAATATATATTACAATTATATATAAGACCATAGTTATAAAACAAAAACCAGTTAGCCGGAACAGTATTTTTCAAAGTCGATAGAGTTAATTTTAATTTTGAAGCTCTTTATATTTTTGGCATTCACGACGTCAGACGGCAAGTTATTCCAAATATTAACAACCCTGAGTGAGAAAGAGTGTTTACGGACATCGAGTTTACATTTTAGTTTGCGTAATTTAAAATTATGTCCTCGAGTGTAAATATAGTTGTTAAATAAAAAGAAACTTGATTTATTTAGGCAAACTAAGTTGTTCAGAATTTTGTAACATGTAATCATGTCTTGCTTAAGGCGACGAATTTCTAGTAGTTCCAAACCAAGAATACTAAGTCTACTTGAATATGAAACATTATTTAGGTTAGAAATTCTCTTGGTAAAACGTCTTTGTACTCTTTCCACTGTATTGTTCATTTTAGTGCGATTTGGCGACCAAACCGGAGAGCAATATTCTAAGATCGGTCTTATATAAGTAGTGTAGGCTTTAACGATAACACGTGGATCACGACTTTTAAAACATTTAAGGATTAGATATCCTCGAATGTTTGATGCACGGACGATATTTGAAATATGATTACTGTAATTCAAATAAAAATCCATGGTCACACCAAGATCTTTTGGGTTTGTAGACCAAGTTAAAATATGATCGCCTAATTGATAGTTGTAATTTATATCTTTACAAAATGAAGTAGGTGCTATTCTATGAGTAAAGCACTTATTATTGGCTATTTTTAATTGCCATTTTTTTGACCAGAGATAAACTTTATAAATGGCTACAGCAAGATCGTGACTGTAATCGGCATCCTTAAATGAACTATATAACTTGATATTGTCAGCATATAACATTAGAGAGCAATTAAGATCTTTTACTATAGAGGGTAGATCATTAATAAATAATAAGAATAACGTTGGACCCAAGACGCTACCCTGTGGAACTCCACTTAGGATGCAGGTTGGATTAGATTGTGAATTTCCAACCAGAACTCTTTAATATCTGTTAGAAAGAAATGCTGATATCCAATGAAGCAGATTATCTATTATGCCGTACATTGCAAGTTTCTTCAGAAGTTTTGGATGAGGTACAGAGTCAAATGCTTTTTGAAAGTCAATGTATACCACGTCAGTAATTAAATTGCTGTCTAAAGCTTTATTCCAGTCATTAGTTGACTCTAGAAGATTTGTGCACGTAGATCTTTTGGATAAAAAGCCGTGTTGATTAGGTGTTATTAGATTATTTATATTAAGATAATCAGCGATACTTGAACTAACAATACTTTCCATGACACGACAGCTAGTACATGTGAGAGATATAGGTCTATAATTGTTAGCATCTGAAGTAGATCCTTTTTTAAAAATAGGGGAAACCGTAGGCTTGAACCCACAACCGTGGCTTGAAGCCACTGTTTTGGTAACGAGCTTGACGTAAAACTTGATTCAAATATATATGAAAGCGGAATACATATTATATGTGCTAACTGTTTTAAAAGTATATTTGGTATACCGTCTGGTCCAAATGATGTGCTAGGTTTTAGATTTTTAAGTTTTTGATAAACTATCTTTGCTGAAAAATTTACAAAATTCATCTTAATATGTTCACTAACAAAGGTATTTATTTTAGGCAAAATTCCGTCATCTATGGTAAAAACACTTCCAAAGTGTTTGTTAAACACTTCCGCGATCTCAACATTGGTAGTAGTAAAGTTGCTATTTGCTATTAACTAAAAAACTTACTTAAGTTATTTTCTTTGACCAGTTTTAGTTCCACATTTTTGTGGTGTGTGGATATGGCTTTTTTACATTTTGATGCATATTGGATAAATGCCTTTTTGTGCAAGGTGGTCTTTGTGATTGACCATCTTTTCCATAGAAAAGATTTGCGAATTAGCATTTTATGAATATATTTTGGATAAGAACGACTTTTTTTGTTATGGTATATTGTTCTGATTGGAACAAAACGATTAATACCTTTACGAAGATGATTAGAAAAGATGTTCCAATACTCTTCAGTTGTAAAAACAAAAGAAAAATCGAGGTCCCAACTTATTTTTGATAAATAAGAATTAAAAGCAATTATATCTGTATTTTTGAAGTCGTAAAAAGATTCAGAGTTTGTTTCTGGCTGATAATAATTAAAGGTGTTTATATAAAAAAAGACTGAGTTATGGTCGCTTGTACTAAATGGACACTCAACGGAAATATTACTTAATAGGGAAATGATACTTAAGAGAACAAGATCAAGAATATTATTTTCTCGAGTGGGCTCCAGTACATATTGGTACATACCAAGATTATTTACCAAAGTTAAAAAAAGATTATGACATTTCTCAATTGGCGTAACATAGTTAACCCAATCAATTTTCGGTAAGTTGAAATCTCCGACAATGACAAATTGAGGAACAGATTCACAGAGATTGCTAATTATCGAGATCATTGATTCAAGATAGATATAATCATCAAGAGAATAGGACGGTGGACGGTAACAAGTAATTAAGCGGAGTTTACTAGACCCAAAAATTAAATCAACACAAATGATGTCAATATCTTTGTCAGTTTGAGTAATACTTACTATGGCGGATTTAACGTCATTTCTGCAGTATATAGCTACACCACCGCCAATTCGTACCCGGTCTTTACGATAAATGGAATAATTTTTTGGACAGACCATGGAATTCGGGAGGTTATCATTGAAAAACGTTTCGCAAACACAAATTAAGGCAGGTTTGTTTAACTCAACGTATAAAAAAAAATCGTTAAGTTTGTTGGCAAGACTTCTTGCGTTAAAAAGATAAACTGTAAAATTGTTGAACGAATTTGTGGTTAAGTGATTGTATGAGTTTATAAAGTTGCTACGTTTTGAACAGATAACCTTTTTAATGCTTTTGTTGTTTACAGCAGTAATACGTTGTTTACTAATGCTTGAGGCATGATTTTTTTGTAATGACTTTGGAATAACTAAAGAAGTTAATGAGCCGTGACTGAAATATTTTTGGTTTTTGCAATTATAAAATGATTGCTATTTGCTAATTTTTATGACTTTTTCATTTCGTATGCCATAATAAAAAAGTGAGGGTTCTGAATTTTCTAAATTTTTTTGTTTGCACTCCTCGCGTAATAACTTAGCTTTGTATCGCTCTGCTACAGTTAAATCGGGATTGATAAACACTTTATTAAACTCGGTTGAATTTTTTAAACTTTTTGCAGCTTTTAGAAAGGAATTTCTATCATTTCGGTTGTTAAGAACAATAACAAAAGGTGATTCTTTGTCGGATTTTGATTTTAATTTTATTATTTGTTTAATTTCGATCTTTGCATTAATAGAGTTCATCATGTGGAGTATAGAATTTTTTTTTTCTTCTCTAGCACTTAATAAATCTGCTTTTTTTGAGGCTTCGATACCAAACACTACAACATTACTTTCCCGTTTTTCTCTTTCTTTTGCCTCGGCAACAACAGCGTTCATTAAATGAAGTTGTTCGGTTGACCTTTTCGGTGGCATATTTCCACTAACAACACTACCCCAAGATATAGACGTGGAGGGTACAACTTTAGCTTTCTCTAGAACATTTAGTCTCTCGGTTAAAAGTAAATTACAATTTTTTAACTCGTCGATTGTTTTGATTAGTGATTTTATTAATTTATCTTGATCTGCTTTATATACATTAAACTCAGTTGATTGAACATTTACCATGTTTGCAATTAATATTTTAATTAAATTTTATTTTACTCGAACTTGTACACACAAACACAAATTGTAACTTGTAAACTTGTAAAAATCGTTCACATTCAGAAACTCAGTTGTCATGAGCCATTCAATGTCGCCATAAGAGTTTTATGAAAGCATCTAAAACGTTTAAAATTCCTTATGGGAAATTCCACATCAGTATAATAGATAAACATAGAAAATAAAATTTTACTTGTGCATCTTGATATATAGAAGCGCTATTGACCTTCAAATCTGGCCTTAGGCTAAGAGCAGAGAATTTTTTTTTTTTAAATTTTTGTTTTATTTTCCTCACAAAAATCTTACACTCTTGTCATTAGGCACCGCGGAAGAGCATTTAAATAAGAAGCTCACGACTCCATTTTTCATATAGCGCTAAACATGTCAAGAACTTGCTTTGAACCCTGGACCTCTTGCCTATAAAGCAAGCGCTCTTACCACTGAGACATGGTCGCACACATCCCGAACCCCGGGCCAGTCTTACCCTTAAACCAAATATATGTTTACAAATGTAATAATCCTAATATCAATAAAGTTTTTATTGATCTGTATAAAATATGTAACTTTTTTTTAAATTTTTATTATTTTAGTTGTGGCATACCTTATATTTTGCAGGGAATGAGAAAAGAACAAGATGCTCATGCCAATTCTTCAACACAAAATCATCTTTCAATGGCAATATCAAAAGTTGCTGCACTTGAAAATAAAATTATGTTTAATGAGAAAGAAATGGAAGCAAAAATGACCTCTCTCAAAAATGAAATGGTAAGAAAGTAACTAAAATAAAAAATTGTTTTAAAATAAATAAAAATTCTGAAAAAGTTTAACATAAAAATATTTGAAAATTAAATCTCAAATAATCTATAAAAATTTAAAGAAAATTAATATAGAATAAACAAAGAATTAGAAAATAAAAAAATAAATAATAATTGAAAATTGAATTTACTTTAAAAAAAAAATTTAATGTTATTGATTTTGTGGATATTTTAAAAAGTAAGTGGATAACTAAATATGTTTTGGAAATTAATGTACTGGTTTTGAATTCCAAATAGCAAACAATGTTTAGAATTATTGGTTTTATAATGGTATTATCAGAATAAATGTAAAATGATTGAATATAAAACTAAAAAAATAATAACAAAAGTATATTTACGCTCCAATTTTTTATCAAAACAAAGCATTTATAAAAATGTATAATTTAAAGAATATAAAGGATGTATAGTAGAGATATTCAGTGCGCTAATTTATTTTCAGAACTTACCCAGTAAGCACAAAGACGTTTAAAAGACGTTTTAAAGATGTCTTTAAGGAGGTCTAAAAGGCGCACTTGTAGACGTCTAGATCATAAGGCTAAAAGACGTCTAAATGAAGACGTCTTTATAAAAACGCGTTTTAGACGTATGTTAGACGTTTTTTTCAAGATAAATTTAAGTACATGACGTAACATTTTTGCGTAGTATGTGGTATATATTCATTGTATTTGTAACATCAAATAGAGTTATAATTTCGTATATACAAAATATACATAAAAACCAGCAATCAAACTAGTATTGCTGTAATCACCACAAACGGTTGATGAAAATAACTAATAACAAATATTTATCAAAACAGTATTTAAAACGTTTATAACTTAGTTTAGTTATAAAAAATTTTAACTTACCAAATGCTAGCTAATTTTTGACCGCATATTTGACTTATTATAAGGCTTGTGGGTGTATAAAAACAAAAAATACTGATATTTAACTTATATATTATTCTTGCCATTTTCACTTATTATCATGATCAGTCAACTATCTATTAAAAAAGCAAAATAATTATTAATAAAAAAAAGATATATTAATATTATAGCAATTATTTTAGTGATTCCTGTGACAACAATTTTAGCAATTGTGTAAAAAAAGTAATTTAATTTAAAGTAATTTACACTTAAAACTTGAACAAATTATTGAAAATAATAAAAACTATGTTTTTACTTTGAATATACGACATCTACTTAACGCGTAATGACAAAGCCGTCAAAAGGAAGTCATAATGACATATTTATAAACAGGTCTCAGAAAAGACGTCTTTTAACCTTGATCTAGACGTCTTTTAATGCGTCTTTTAGACTATTTATTACGCGTCTTTTAAACGTATTTTTAAACTTTAAAAAGACGCATTTTAAACGTCATTTAAAATCGCATTTATTAAAGACGTCTAGAAGATGTCTTAAAAAAAGATATCTTCTAGACGTTTTTTTAACGCTTAAATAGACGCCTTTTAAACATCATTTTAAAAACGCATTCAAAAAAGACGTCTAAAAGATGTCTTTAAAATGTCTATAAAAGTGCGTCTTTACCTAGACTAGTTTTAGACGTCTATAAGTGTCTAAAATGCGTCTTGTGCTTACTGGGTAGCTAATTGAAGATTTTCCCATTTCAATAGATTTATTGCAATATTATTAATAATTATTATAATTATTATATAATTTATTGCAATTTTCAATAGATTTATTGCAATAATCATTGTCATCGTTGTTATCGACATTCTTGAACTCTTCAGAACCCTCATCAGTACTCCTAGAATTGAAATTATCATAGTTTTCAAGAACAATACTAGGATTTGACTCACCGTTAGAATTATTTTTAACAAATGTTTTGTTAGAAATAACATTTATTTTTACATCAAGCAAAAAACGGCTTTGTTCAAAGAATTTAAGTGCTTGTAACACATTATTTGATCCTGTATAAGATTTATTCGATCAAGTTTAAAATGATGAACAACTTTATTTATTATATTTTCATTTTTAATTTAAAAAACTTTTTTTGAGCCAATACTATCACCTCTCTATTTACAAACACAACAATATCTATTTCTAAGATTATTTAATACCATTTTGTAATATTATTATATAATTTTTTTATTTTTCAGTTATAATAAAAATCTTTAAAGGATTTAATTCACATGAAATAAAAAATAAAAAATGCAAAACTTTTTATCAAGGAAATATAAAAATGAAATAAAAAAAATTTACCGTTTTAAACTTTCTTATTTAAGCTCAATTAAAATAATTGCGAGGTAGTTAATTGTTGTTGTAATTCCTTTTATATCCTTTTAAAATGTGGAATTTAAACATACCAGATCATTTTTATTAGCTGGAAATGCGAATTGAAAAGTTTAAAGTCTTTTTTTCAATTTTTGTTTAAAATAAAATAAAAAAACTACTTGAATTTTTTTTTTTTTTTTTGAGGGGACAGGGTGGGTTAAAATTATTTTTAAGTTGTAAAAAGTTTTTTTCTAATATCCTTAAGCGTAATTATAAGTTTTAAAGGGAAAAAAATATTATTTGGGTTGCGAAGAGGGGGGAGGGAGCTCAAAATTAATTTTACGTTGTAAAAAGTAGTTTTCTAACATCCTTGAGCTTAACTATGATTTTCAAACGAAAAAAAAAAAGGCCCAAAATTTCATTTAAGTTGGACTCCTTTATAAAATAGTAAAGAAAAAAGAAATGATCAATCAAAGCGAGTCGCAATCGATTATACATTTATATTTAATGAATTGAATGATTAGTTAATACATAAATACAAATTCACGGGCATATGAGTATAAGATATGATTTAACTATACAATTTCAGAATATATATGTTAGGTATATATTTATAAATTTTATTAAATCCACCATTATCATTCTAATACATATATAAAAGTAAAAATACGTCTACTAAACTATATTTTGTTCATAATAATATATGCATATAACTAAATATTATCAAAGTCTAAAAACGAACTCGAACTAAATAAAAAATTAAAATATTTTTTCAAGTCCTATTTTAGCTTTAAATTAATCAATTTTTATAATACGTTCCATATGAACGCACAAATTCAAAACGAATGTAATTATGTTGTTTGTTTCGTAATTACTTACTCTAAACGCATTTCTAGAACTAAAAAAATTGCTTGAAAACGTTTGAAGCAAACTGTAATTTTAAAAAATGTTTTTGGAGCAAGACTAAAAGCTAAAGTCGATGGCCGAAGTAGAGCTTGATGCAATACGATGAGCTACAAGTAGCCCAAAAGCAAAGCTCGATGCAGCGCGGAAAACCAGAAGATGGCGCAGAAGACCAGACGGAGGTTTTCTCACAGTGGAGGGTTTCGAGGGCCGGAATCAAACAATAATGCCCTTATTAGAGAAAATAAAGTTCACGTGTAACATACGTGGCCTTTTTAGGTTTATTGTAAATAAGGCGACGCCTTAGGAAAGCCTCAACGCTTTAGCGCCTCAGCGCCTCATCGAACCAATAAAGGCAAACGTTTTATTATTTGAATGAGGCGTACGCCTTAATGCGAAAATTGAACTCCTCGCACTGAGGCGTACGCCTCACCGCCTTGAGGCGTAGTTTTTTTTAAACCATGACATGAACAAATTTTTTTGACCTTTTTTTTTGACCTTTTTTTTTGACCTTTTTTTTTGATCTTTTTTTTTGACCTTTTTTTTTGACCTTTTTTTTTGACCTTTTTTTTTGACCTATTTATAAAATAACAATCAAATTTAAAGTTACTATCGTTATTATTTGACATTTTTGTTTTGAATTACTCTTTAGAATTTCAATTATATTTAGGTTAATAAATAATATTTCGGGTAACTTTTGTTAAAACTATAAAAAAAGTAAACTTTTATTTCAAATTTATTCGCGAGTAATACGTAAGTAATTAGAGTTGAAATAATAAAGCAAATACAAGTAATATAAACACGTGAATAATTTGTAAGTAGCGTGATTAGATGTGAGTATGTAATACGTAAGAAAATTAGCGGCAAAAATTGCACAACGTGGAGCTAGAAATTTGAGCGAAAAAATATTTGAAAGTTCAATTTCTACTTGTAGCGCTATTGCGTTTAGTGTAAAATAAAAATTTAACGTAAGGTAAATTGCAAACTAGAACTAATTTCTTAGTAATAAAATCAATTGATATTTATTGTGTTTAAAATCTGTTAACACGAATTAGGCTTTCCAGTTAAATTAAGTTTAAACTTAACATAATATAAAAGAGAAACATGGTAAACTAAATAATGGGTATGGAAATTAACATAAAAAGAACGCTTTTTTTTGTAAAAAAAAAAAAAAATGGATTCTAGTTATATGTCTAGTTATATATATATATATATATATATATATATAAAGACTCCAGTTATGCAGAAGAAAAAAAAAACATATTAATTTTAAACTATATGCTCTTTACTTTTTATACATATTACATATTAATTTTAAATTATATGCACTTTTTACTTCAGCTGTTCCAGTCGTTCTAATTTTGTAAAAAATCTAGTCAATGTTTATTGATTCTTTGGGAAAAGCTTCCTTTATTGCACAGTACTTGATATTCAAGGCCGGTAAAATGAAGTAAGCTTTTTTTTTAAAACATTTAGATCAACTATCCCTTTTATATAGAACATCTAGCACAGTGCAATAAAGGTAATATGTTTTTAATTGAAGTATTTTTGGTATTAGCATATCATCAAAAGTTTAAGAATGTTGACAAGTTTACGTCTTACTTATTGGTATAAGCATGGTACTACAACAAGCATTTTAAATCTGCTATTTGTGCTACGCTAATTTTTGCTAACTTATGATTTCTAACAACTTTGTCAAAAATTTGATCTCTAATAATTCTGATGTCTAAAAACTTTTGCTACCAGAAGGGTTAATAAGGCATCAGTAATTAATATTTACTGATCAAACATGGTTGCACAAAGTGATGTTAGGATTGCAGTAGAATTTAAAGCAAAAGGGGCAAATATCCTCATTTTAAATTTTTCAATATAAATAAAATTTAATAATTGTTGCACATACTTATTTAAGCTGTATTAAGTATGGCTTATAGTTCTATGTGTGATTCTTTGTTACATTATGTTAAATGACTCATGTTTAAAAATTTGCTACTTTCAATTGCAAGAACAGGCGGTAAAAAAACATATAAATCTCAATTGCCATGTTACTTGGTTGTTTTATTTGTTTGTTTGTTTTTGCTTTTTTTAATTGTTTATTTTTTTATAATTGTTAAACGCATGAATACCGGATCAACTGAAAAATTGATCGAATATAATAAATTAAAGGCAAGAGAGTTGTCTTCTAATTGAAATAAGAAATCAATAAAAAATGTAAATTGCATAACTTGTTTTTCAACAATTTTTTTCTATGCAGCGACCTTGTTCGTTGAGGTTCGTGTTTCAGAGTTATAGAACTGAGAGAGGGTTGTAACCACAAAAAGGTTTCCTTGACTGTAGTGGCTTTTTTGACAAAAAGGTTTCCTTGACGTCTCCTTGACTGTAGTGGCTTTCTCGGCCTAGGGTAGGTGAATGATTAAAAGAAAATAAAGTAAAAAAAAATTTGAGAAAAATGAAGATTAAAGAGAGTTACAAAGCTTATGATAAAGTGCGCGGAATTAAATGTAAATAAAACATTTTAGAGTACCAAGGGTACAAATAATAAAAAAAATGCAACCTTACGAAAGCAAGAGTCAAACAAGAATGAATTTTAGTTGATGGAAATAGATAATAGCTCGAATGATTAGCAAACATGATAATATTTGTAAAAAAAGAAAATGTGTTGCAACCTCAGAACGACAAGACAGTGGCTCAAAATTGGTATTTATGTGTGCAGAAATATATTTTTTCTAAATCATATACTCTAAATGGTACTCGCATGCAAAAAAAGTAGCAAGAATAAAAGATATAGTTACATTTCTAAAAAATGACCATTAGTAAAACTAGTTTTGACAATTTATCATATCATTGTTATGCCATGTTTTACTATAATATGGTATTAAATACAGTCTGATTCTACACACTTAGTTACATATTTTAATGTTGTTATTTAAAATGTTTAAACTAATACCAAGAATATAAACATTTTTATAAAACTTTGATGTTATTAATAATATTTTTTTAATTTTTTGTTTTTAGTTCCGTTTAAAATTTTATAAAGTTTTCTGCATCAAAAAGGGTCGTTTACATACAAACTGATTTGCTTGCAATAATTATCTTGAATTCTAGTCATAACTCTGTGCTATATCATATTTGAAACTATTCTCAATAATTAGTCAAGTTTCTTTTAAACCTTCTTTTCTAAAAAAAGAAAATAAGATTTAAGAGGATATTGGATATAAGGTAATATTCTCTTGAAGCACATGACGTAAAAAGGATTAGGGTTTTGATTTGTGAATGCAAGTATATGCTTATAAATGTAAACTTAATATCATTTATACTTTCTTTGTATTGATCTGAGTAATATTTATAATTTGTTATTGCATGCTTATTTATTATATCAGGATAATTCCATTAAACTTTATTCATATTTTTATTTACTATATGATGAATAATTAACAATACTTGATTTTGAATTAACAGTTAAGTATACCACATAGCTCTTAGTTACCTATCTTGAACATCAAAGTTACAAGACACTTGCCTAAAATACGTGATTTCCCTCTAGGCTCCCGGTGAAAAGAGTTGTTTTTTTTCAATTTTGAAATAAGGAAGCATCTTACAATAATAA